CCCCTCAGTGGCACTCTGATTAGGTGGTTTCATGCGCTGCTGCCTTTCCCTGCCCCTGGGAGAGTGGTCGCTGAGACACACTTGAGTTTCTGATGAGGAAGCCCAGGCCTGACCAAGTGGTCTCTTCTGACCATGTCTGTGTGGTGGCCTCCCAAGGACTGTGAGGGGACCCCAGGGGAAGGGGGTCAGCTCTATGGGAGGCCTGTGATAGATAGGCTGGTACAGGGTCAGCCCAGCTAGCATCTGCCTCCAGCCCCTGCCTCTGAGGTGGGTCTGCAAGGCTGTGTGATCTTGGCGCTTTAGTGCCTCACCCTCCCTGCCTGCCTTTTCATCTTGTCCTGCCCCCGCCCCCAGGAGGCCGAGGAGGACATCCCCAAGCAGAAGGAGCAGACGCACTTCACCGTCCGCCTGACCGAGGCCAAGCCTGTGGACAAGGTGAAACTCATCAAGGAAATCAAGAGCTATGTCCAGGGCATCAACCTGGTGCAGGTGAGGCCCCACAGGGCTCCTCCGCCCGTCGGGGCAGGTGGGCAAGCCGGCTCCCGCCCCTGACCGTCTTCCCTCCTCACAGGCCAAGAAGCTGGTGGAGACCTTGCCCCAGGAGATCAAAGCCAATGTGGCCAAGGCTGAGGCGGAGAAGATCAAGGCGGCGCTGGAGGCGGTGGGCGGCACTGTGGTGCTGGAGTAAGCCGGATCCGAGGACTGCAGGGCCTGCAGCCCCAGAGGCTTGCCCGGTGCCTGGCAAGGCCCGGGCCCGGGGCTGCAGCATGGACTCGTGGCACTGGCTGCCAGCCCACCTCCATTTGGGAGGGAGGAGTGGACCTGCGGGGCGGGCCGGGCGGCGGCTGCCCCTGCGGGCCCCGGGGAGAGGACTTGATGTCCAGCAGTCACAGAGCGGCTCCCATGGCCTGCCTGCCAGTGGGAAATACACTGTGGAGACTCGGAGGGTGTAGCTTGTGTGCTCTGGAGCGTGCCGCCTCGGGGCTGGGCCAGCACAGGCTGAGGCCCTTCAGCGGGTGGGCAAGGGCTCTGGACAGGCCCCTTCCCCATCAGCTGCCACGTGGTCACACACCAGGACTTCACTGGAGGTGGGGGGAGCATGCGGGGTGCCCCTGTTTGAGGAGTAGGAGGTACAGCTTGCCTGGCCAGGGGGGCCCCACAGCACAGCCAGTGGGGTGTGGAAGGGAAGGCAAGAGCCCAGCCCTGCATCTTGTATATGGGGGGCCAGCGGGAGGCTGTTCCCACACTTGGGGAGGGGGTACTTGATGTTGCGGTGGTTTGAAACAAGCAGCTACGCTGGCTTTAGAGGGGCGCTGGCTTTAGAGGGGCCGGGGGAGCAGGAAGACCCACCTCCAGCAGGATCTTCCCAGGCCTGGCTGCGAGAGGCACCAGCAGGGGCGCTGTGTTGCCGTAGTGGGCTGGCAGTCTGACACGTATTGACTGGTCACTAACTGCCTGGCTAGCTGGGGTCCCCACCTGCCCAAGGAGCCCATGGCTGCAACTGGGTCACCAGGGATCCAAGGGGACCGTGGGCAGGATTCGTGGTGGCCAGTCAGTTACCAGTGTGGCTTTGCAACTCCAGTGTGGAACCAGTACCTGTGAACCTTCACCAGGGTGAGGAGGGGTGGGAGGGAGGTGACTGGTGAACTCTTCCCTGGGGTCGCTTCCAACCTGGCCACGCAGCATGGCTTCCCAGAAGCCCTGGGACCGGGTAACTGCCCACTCCGGTTTCTAGCCTCAGTGGTGCCCTGGACCTGCCCCACCAACACCCCAAGGAACTGGAACTCTGCCCTCTTGTCCCAGGGCTCACAGTGTGGCACAGCTTAGGGGACCTGGTTTTCAGAAGACACCCAGCTCCTGCCTGCTCCTGCCCTTTCCTGGTAGCAATGTTGGCCAGCCCCGGGCTGCAGGTGCTGGGCCGAGCTGAGCTCTGTACCTGCCCCCCTGGACTCTGCCCTTCCTGCTGGCTCTGCAGCCCTGCCCAGTCAGTGAGCAGAGCTGGGTGAGCTGCCGCCTATGACAGGCTCTTGGCCAGAGGCCACAGGCTCCCTGGGGACACAGCCTGCAGCCAGGCACCGGAACCACCATGTTCACTGATAGGGAAGCAGATGGGGCTTGGGGTTCCTTGTGTTTTTAGTGGAGACCTCATCTCCAGGGGCCCCCTCTCTGGGTAGCAGCTCCCACTTGCCCCTACTCTGCCCTGCTACAATCTGTGTTCCTGCACATACATGCACCTCAGCCTCCACATTCCCATTGCCTAGGGGATCCCACCACCACCTAGCCCAAAGGGCCCCTGATGGGCTTGGGCTCCCTGTGTGGAGCACGCAGACTGATCAACAGCTACCCCCGCAGAGAACCCAGCCCCCACAGTGTTGCTCCAAGTGGCTTAGGGGACTTGGGTCACCTGTAGTCACTTCCTTGTTTGTTAGGGTACACTAGGGGGAAGGGGTAGTTTAGCCCAGGAAAGGGACATGCCCCTCCTAGGACCCTAGTGCTTTTAGAGGGTCTCTGGGAGCCCCTCCAGGCCACTTCCTGGTTGTGTTTGCTGGAGGCTGGGCCTGGCTGGGAGGTGACACACAGCCTGAGGAGTGGGCTGGTGTGTCCACAGTGCTTTTGAGAACCCCGCCCCCAGCTACTGTGGGCACGCAGCTGAGCATCTGTAGGCTAAGGATGGAATGGGAGCCATGGACCAGGCCTCATCCACCCCCTCGACAAGCCAGACTGCGCCTAGAGGGAGGGGCTGGGTGCAAGTTCAGCGCCTGGTCTGGAGGATGGGGCTTCAGGGAGCGGACACGGGAGCGTCGCTCACATTACTCGCTGTGACATTTGGAGCAGTGGTCAGCGTTGGGTGGCCAGGGGACCCAGGTCTCCACAATGCTTGGGGTGCTCCACGCAGCGGGTTCTCCGCAGGCTGCACGGTCCTTGGGCTCGGTGGGGTACCTGCAATGTCAGGTGGCGCCCGTCAGTCCCGGGTCCGGCCGCGGCCCCTTTAAAGCACGGAGCCTGCCCGGCTCGGGGCGAGGTCAGCCGAGGCCCCGCCCCCAGGCCTGCGCGGGCGCATTGGCTGCTCTTCGAAGGTGGCGTGGAACCGCAGGCAGGCACCGGCAGCGGCTCCGGGCGCACTCAGCACCCGGCGGGCACCGCGCCGGCCATGGCATCCGAGGCGCGCGTGTCACGCTGGTACTTCGGGGGCCTGGCTTCCTGCGGGGCCGCCTGCTGCACTCACCCGCTGGACCTGCTCAAGGTGGGGCCGCGGGGCAGGGCGGGAACCCGGGCACCTTCTGCAGCCCTGCCCGCGGATGGACCGCGGCGGGGACGCCCACGCTGCCCTCGCCGCCCCAGTCCCGTGCCCTGCGGTCGCGAGGAGGGCTGCGTCCCAAGCTCCTGGACCCACACACCTCCCGCCGGGCCGGGAGCGGGTGGGCGGGCGAACCAGGCTCTGGCCGCCCGGGTGCAGGAGTGCTGGGCGTGAAGGGGCCAGGCCTTAGCCGCGTCTGCAGGCGACGGCGAGTCCGCGCAGCCTCCGGATTCCATCCCGAGGTGTGCGCCCCACTACCTGTGCGACAGTGGGCAGGGCGCCGGGTCTCTCCGGGCGGCCATCTGAGGCTTCCTCCGGGTTGACCACTGAAGGTGCACTGCGAGGGAGGGGGGGCGAGGGTGTGTGTGATGTGCGCACGTGCTAGCGTGTGTAGAGGTCAAGTGTGGGCACCTGGCCCTGCCCTGAGACCCAGGGAATGAAAGAACGCCCCCTGATTTGGGCCGATTCCCCTGAGCTGGGGCAGGTGGAAGTGGGCAGTGGACGACCGCAGGGACCTACCTCGGGACCTGAACTCCGCGTGAGCCTAGACACCCCACCCCCCACCCCGCCTTAGAAGGAAGCTGCTTTCACACTTTTGGAGTTTTGTTTTTTTAAGGGGAAAAAATGCGCACGTGGCAAAACAAGACAGAACTTCCCTTGTCTCCCAGCCACAGGGAGCTGTTCTCTGGCCTCTTACCACAAGGGATAAAGAGGTCTGGGGTTCTGAACAGAGCAAAGTCCAGCAGGGCAGCCTGCCCCCCCTTTGCCCTGGACTGTGGTCAGTGGGCGTCTACACCCGGCTCTTCCTGGGAGGACAGCCTGACCGGTAGCTGACCCAGGCCCATCCCTGCCCAGGGCCACCCTCTCAGCAACCTGCTTCCGAATGAGGCCCTGGGGGCTCTGCTGCTTGCCTCAGGCAGGCGTTGAAACCCACCGGGAAGTCCTGAGGACACCCCAGAGACCCTTCCTGTCTCTCTCCTTTCTCTCTCGCTCTTACACACGCACAGCTGTCCTGAGTCAGAGGTGAATTGGTGAGAAATTAGCTTTTCTGATTGACAGACAGGGCAGCCACCAGGGACAGGGCCACACCACATGGGTGGGCCGGAGCAATGCTGAGGACTCCCCCTGCTCCAGGACAGAGGGGTGGGGGGTCGGGCGGGGGTCCTGGATGGCAGGAGCTGGGTGCTGGAAGGAGGGGCCTCGCCTGGCTCATTCTCTTGCCTCCCCCACTCCTCACCCCCGCTGCCAATGGCGGGGTTCCTGCAGAGAGTCAGGCTGGAAACTGACCGGGTGGCCGTGTTCACATTGAACCAGCTGTGACGTGGACTCACTCACCAGCAGTTGTCCATTGTCCAAGGCCCTGCTGGGCATCACTGCCCGCCCTCTCCCCGCCCTGAGACACTGCCGTTGGGGAGGGGCAGGGGCAGCCAGGGGCAAAGCCGACTGCTCTCTATCCATGTTAACCAGCACTCCCTCTGACCATTCCAGTGCCCCTAAAACCACTCACCCTCCTCTGTGCCCAGGACCTGGCTCCATCCTCTGAGCCAATTATCACCTGGGCTGGACAGCAGCCAGCACCTGCTTGTCCACCCTGCCTTGGGGGCCACTGCCCCCTCCCACCAAGCCTGCAACAGCTGCATAGGGAGCTCTGGTGTGCTGCCTGCAGCCCTCAAGACTGCTGCCCCCGACCCTGACAGTTCATCCGGGTGTCTGGGAAGCCCAGCTGCCAGGGGGCCAGGGTGGGTGCCGGGTGCTGCGATCCCAGCCGGTGGCCTTCTCTAACCTCTGCTCTCTTGGCCGAGTGGCTGTTCCCTCCCGGGCGGGGCGCCTGACCATGGGGTGGGAACAGTGCTGTGAGCCGTGATTGCCGGGAGTTGGCAGACTGCAGCTGGCCTGCCCTTACCTCCTGGCTCTCCCTTCCCAACCCTGCATCTGAGCTCAGGCCAGGCCAGCAGACCCCCACCCCCCCGCCAGCCTCCCCGCCCCTCCTGGAGCGTCCCTAGCCAAGACCCTGTGGCTTTCTCCCTCTTGAGGTGGTCACGGCTACGCCGTGGGCCTGGGGTCACCACCCCATGCTTGTTCCCCCTCTAACAAGTAGGGTATGGGGCGCTGCTCAAAGGCTGGGGTCTGGCCTGCCCCTGTCGGGCACGGGCTGCTATCACTATGGCAGTGGTGGCTAGAGCGGGATCAGGGTGACTGCAGCCTGTCCCCAAGACAGTCCCCTGGACCCCTGGAGGCCCAGTCACCTACAGTGTCGTGGGTCACCTGTGGCCAGTGTGGGAGAAGGGCGGGGACAGGGCTCTGAGCAGGTGCTCACACACCAGGCACCCCTGCTGCAGGTGCACCTACAGACGCAGCAGGAGGTGAAGCTGCGCATGACGGGCATGGCGCTGCGAGTGGTACGCTCCGACGGCATCCTGGCACTCTACAACGGCCTCAGCGCCTCCCTCCTCAGACAGGTGCGGGCCTGGGTGCCAGGGGGAGTGGAGGGTTTCAAGGGTGGGGTGTAGCAATGGTGAGGGTGAGGAGGGGCCGAGGGGTCCTGTCCCGGCCGCCCTGAGCTGGATGCCCCCACAGATGACCTACTCGCTGACCCGCTTCGCCATCTACGAGACTGTGCGGGACCACATGTCCAAGGGAACCCAGGGCCCCCCGCCCTTCTACCAGAAGGTGCTGCTGGGAGCCATTGGCGGTGAGCCAGGCGGGAGAGCACAGGGGCTCAGGGGGGGAGGCTACCGCCAGATTTGACTGTGTGGGTTGTGTTACCCAAGGTTTCACCGGCGGCTTTGTGGGGACCCCCGCAGACATGGTCAATGTCAGGTCAGTGACGCACCCCACCCCGGTCAAGATCCTCGGGCACCGTCCTTTCCGTTTGTCCAAGTTTCCCTCCCTCTGTGGGACCCTGGAGTCCCGGCTGTGGGAGGGGCGGCCCTGAGCACAGCTCGTGGTCCCAGGCCAGCTGGTGGTCTGCCTGTGCCCTGTGTCTGGGGGCCTGCGCATGCCCCCGGAAAGCTGGCCTGCTGGAGCCTGGGGGAAGCATGTGCACAGCCAGCAGCCCCCTGACCCCCACCCCTTCTTCGCCCTCTGTCTCTTCCAGGATGCAGAACGACATGAAGCTGCCGGCCGGCCAGCGTCGCAAGTGAGCATGGCTCCCTCTTAGGGGCCCAGGGGCCTGGGCCTCTGTGAGGGGGACAGGGAGTGGCAGGGGGGCTGGGCCCGGGACTGTGTGATGGGAACAGATGCCACCTGGATTGTGGCAGTGGGGTCCTATGAGAGGGTCACAGCCAATCAGGGGGATTCCTGGGTGCAGCAGACAGACCCCTAAGCTGCTCCGCCCAAGCCAATTAGGACTTAGGCCATGTAGCAGGTGAGATCAATGGTGGGGGTGGGGGGGAGAGGGAGGTGTTAGGGTCTGGAGGCCTTGGGCAGCGAGTTCTAGGTGCTCTGTCCTGGAATAACTTGAGGTGCCACCTGGTCCCTCCACAATCTCTGTGGGAGGGGCTCCTTTCTGAGACCACCCATGGGGGCTCAGACTTTGGCAAGCAGGCAGGGTGGGGTTCTGGAGATGTGGGGGTTGGTAGCAGGAGCCCTTACGGCCTGTTCTGCCCCAACAGCTACGCCCACGCGCTGGACGGCCTGTACCGGGTGGCCCGGGATGGTGAGAGGACCTGCCTTTCCTGATGGGGTGGCGGGGATTGTACAAGGTACATGGGGGAACGTGTCTTGGGGTGCTGGGGACCCCTTGCCTGACCACCCCTTCTTCACCAGAGGGTCTCAGGAAGCTGTTCTCGGGAGCCACCATGGCCTCCAGCCGAGGGGCCCTCGTGACCGTGGGCCAGGTAGGGCTTCGTGCAGAGCCTCAGCACAGCACCCTGTCCCCCACACGCAGGAGGGTACTGGGTAGAGAGCAGGGGCGGGGGTGCTAGGCTTCTCCTGGGGAACCACCTGCTGCTCCAGATGGATGAGAGGGGCCTGGCACTACGCCCCTCACTCCCGGGCCTCAGGGTTCATGCCGGCCATGTGACCCTTGCAGTGTTCAGTCACTGCCGGGTGGGGTCTTTTCTCTGGGGACCCCTCCATGGGCCTGACTTCCCCTTCCGTCCTCCAGCTGTCCTGCTATGACCAGGCCAAACAGCTGGTCCTCTCCACCGGCTACCTCTCAGACAACATCTTCACCCACTTTGTCTCCAGCTTCGTGGCGGTGAGCTCAGGAGGGCTGAACTGGGGTGGGATCTGGAGGTGCCAGCAGGGGATGGGGGGTGAGCCTGTGGGTAGGCAGCGCCCGGGCCAGGACAGGCCCCTGTGTTGCCCACACCCCAGGTCAGTTGATGAAGATCCCCCTCCGCCTCAGGGCGGGTGCGCCACCTTCCTGTGCCAACCGCTGGATGTGCTCAAGACCCGTCTAATGAATTCCAAGGGCGAGTACCAGGTGTGTGGGGGCAGCATGGGCGGGGCCGGGCTGTGAGGAAGTGGCTTAGGGGAAGGGGGACCCCGAGGACACCTCACAGCACTGGTCTTTGCCTTGTCTGAAAGGCTTTCTTTTAAAATTAACCCAACAACCAAAACAGAGGGTTCTCAGCCGGGTTTCTGGGGAACAAGTTGAGCCAGCAATGGGAGCGCTGGGCGCCCGGGCCTCCACCCAACCCTACGCTGTCCACTGCGTTCACAGGGTGTTTTCCACTGCGCCAAGGAGACCGCCAAGCTGGGACCCCTGGCCTTCTACAAGGTGGGCTTGGTCACACGTGGGGGGCGGGGCCTCCCGTAGGTGTGTGCCTGCGTCAGCCCGCTCACCCTTCTCGGTGTCCGCAGGGCCTCCTGCCCGCCGGCGTCCGCCTGGTGCCGCACACGGTGCTCACCTTCCTCTTCCTGGAGCAGCTGCGCACACACTTCGGCATCCGCGTGCCAGCCTGACCGGCAAGGCGCCTTTCCACCCAAAGAGCGGCAGGGATCCAGCAGAGCCCTGCCCACGCCCTTCTCCCAGTCCGGGACCACCACACCTACCCCAGCTCAGCCCTGTCACCCTTTTTCTCCACGCAGTCCTGCCGCTGAACACCTGCGCCGAGCCCCCCCAAGACCCCCTCCAGTACCCCTTCCCCGCCGCCTCCTGGGCACCGCCTCCACCCCTGCTGGCTTCTCTGAGGACATAGACCCAGGAGGGCAAGGCTTGGCCCCCGCCTGGCAGCAGATCAAAGCACATACACTGCTACTGGCCCTCACGATGTGGTGGGAGATCGCAGGCTTTGATTGGCCACCTGCCTCGTGTCCCCATGGCCCCAGGCTGCTGACCACCACCACCCTGCGCTCAGTCTGCTGCTTCACTGAGCAGCTGCTCGGAGCCCACAGCTCTGCAGGCTTCTAGCTGCATCAGGGGAGAGATGTGAGGGACGCCGGTCCTCAGGCCGGGGCTCCCCTGAGCTGGACTCAAGCAGACGGGGACCAGCATTCCCCCACCCCACCCCCAACCCAACATGGCTTTAACTAGGTCGGTTCTGCCAACCTCTGGCACCTGCCACCTGTGTCTTCAGGGATGGGCTGAGTCCTTCCCCCACCCCACCCCCCACAGTGCCTGGGACCCTTCTGTACTGAGGTGGTCACCCCACTCCATACCTGGGCTGTCCAGCCAACCTCGTGGGTTCTGCCTGCTTGCCGAGCCCCCTCCTATTGTGACCCCACCCAGGAAGGGTCCCGTGCCTCTGTCAGAACACCATTAAAGATGAGGAGGACCAGCCCCCTCCCCCTGTGTGTGTCTCTCTTGGGGCCCAGGACTCCTTAGCGGCCTGCAGACCAGAACCCTGCTGTGCTCCATGAAGGCAGTCCAGTGCAGGGGCCAGGCCCCTGAGCGGGAGAAGTCATCCCTTGGGCAGGAGTAGGCGGGGCTAGGGTGATGGCAGCTCGCCGGGAGTGCTGGGCATGCTGGGGTGGACCACCCTACTGGAAGGGCTTGCTCAGTTCTGGAAGCATGTCGGTCCAACCTAGGGGGCCGCCCTTCCCAGCAAACTGTACACTGCCAGGGCTCTGGGTGGGCTGAGCCAGCCCCCGCAGGGGCCCCTCGGCGCTCACTGTGGGAGGTGTCTCCTCGAGCCAGCCCTGCACTCTGGCACCATCAGTTGTTGAGAAAACCCCTCTCAGCTGCAAACTCTCAGACGGAGCTAATGCTGACGCCACACCCCTGAGGGGTCCCCTGAGCGGTCCTGCCCAGTGAAGGCCACCAGGACGTGCTGGACCCACCTGCTCCCAGCAGGATGTCAGTCTTTTGCGTAGGCACCGTTTTCACAGCGGTTCTGAGGTTGGAGCCCGGGGCAGCCTCCTGCAGTCAGTCCCTCAAGGGCCCTCTTCTTTCCGACTGCCCCTCCCCTTACCAAGCGTCATGGCCCTGTCCAGGGACTAGTCTCTCCCGCCGCCGCGCACCCAAAGTACGTGAAATGACGTCCCACCGTCTTCACTGCTAAGGTGCGTTCCGGTTGTACTTCTGCCAAGACCGATTTGTCTTCCGGCACTTGGAGCTTCTTTCAGCCGCATCGGTTCTCCGTCGGCTGTGGTCTGGCCCCTCAGGGCACTGACTGTTCTTGAGGTGGTCTCAAAGTTCAGGCAGGAGAAGCTCAGGGTGGTATTGGGCTCACGTGCACTTGTTTGCATTCTCTTCTGCTCCGACCGGAACATGCACACGAGCAAGTCTCTGGTGTCCCTTCCCGCAGGTGTAGCCCGTTTGCTTTCTGCTCCATCTGGAGATGCTCACGTGGAAAAGGTTGTTTGTTGTGAACACGTCACTGGCCTTGCGAGCTTCTGTCTTGAGACCCCGGCTTCCTTTCTCTCACCAAGACTGTGTTTTCCAACTATGGTTCCTTCCTCTTTGTTTCCAACTTCTGCATCCCAATCTCCATTCCAAAGAAGGGACGCACAGATTATGGAATGATGTCATTGATATCACATGCCAGTACAATTGTGCTGAAGATCCTCCCAGAGCGGTTGCAGTAGAGCATTGGCAAGATGTGGCCAGAGGTCAGATTCAGAAGAGGGAGTGGAACAAGGGATGTCGTGACTGATGTCAGATGGATCTTGCCTGAAAGCAGAGAGTACCGGAAAGAGGTGTACTTGTGTTTCGTTGACTAACAAGGCGAGTGACTGTGTGGACCATAACGAACTGTGGATAGCTTTGAGAAGAATGGGAATTCCAGAGCACTTCCGTGTGTCCATGTGAAACCTGTACATGGACCAACAGGCAGTTGGGTAAACAGCAAGGAAATGCTGCCTGGTTTACAATCGGAAGAGGTGTGAGTCGAGGTTGTAACTTCCCACCTAGTCCGTCTGTATGCGGGGCAAGTAATCGGAGAAGCTGGCTTATGAAGATTGACACAACCTTGCTGGCGGACAGGGAGGACTTGAAGCACTTGCTGATGAGACTCAAGCATTGCCGCACGATCAAGATCAAGCCTTCAGCGTGGATGACGACTCACTGTCAGGAAGACCAGCATCCTCAGAGCTGATGGTGCCCGGCTATCAAAA